AAGCTAGATTAATGATATATGAATAGTGACTATCATTATAAATTTTGTAGGACATTAAGAAAAAAATCTTTTAACTAATTTCTTTTATGTAAACATTTCCACTTATTTATAAATGTGTATTTATATCTTATGACGTAATTAGATAAACGATTATTATACATAAACAAATAAATCATCATTAATAACGAGTTAAATATTGAATGATTAACTTCTTTTATTCCATTTGAATGGATAGTAAATGAAAATAAAACTAAGTATTGAGAACTAATTTTTGCACATATTCAGTTTATAATTGAAAAAAAGGTAAGACTCTAATTTATGGACAAGCCAATCAGAGGCGTTTTAGAGATTTCAAGGTTACGGCGCCAACTTCAGTGCTTAATGCTAACGTACGATCGCTTCACAGGTAATTTTGTACAAAACGTTTTATAACAAATAAAACGGCGAGACGAGCCAATCCGGTATAAGATAATAGATCTCGGATTTTAACGCGAAAGCCCTTCATTCATTAGGCTAAATAAATTTCTGACATTACAGCTGATGTCAGTTCATGATGAAAACCCCATATATAATTCCTAAAGCAAATTACAACAACTATTGCGAACTGGATAATAAAAGCACCAGTAACACTGGCTGCAGCCAGGTACTACAATATATACGGGTGTTTGGAGAGCGTACAGACTCCTACATAGGCTTGGTTATGTGCATCGTGCTGTTATCCACAAGTAGCACGGTGTGCACTCAACAACAGTAGTGAACATTAAAAATATTGAAGCTATGTGATCGGGGCTGAAAGAGTATTTAAGACTTCATCATGACTCCAGAGGCCGACTATTCTGTAGCCGTCTGGATGATTTCCTCTACTTCATGCAGTACGATTCTAGAACCTCTGAACCTCTTTCTAACCTTGACAAGTTTTTGAACCACATATAAGAAGTGTATCCACTTTATTTCCTTGGTTTTGTATAACGTATTTCTACTCTGTACTGACTTTGCTGATTGACTAATATTTCTCAGGGTCATTTGAGATTCGTTCAAAGGTCGTCCATAAATTAGAGTCTCTCCGAAAAAATCTAAACAGTGTGTATTTTATAATTTCAATCAGGTTCACTATAAAACTTTTATGAATCATAGAACTAACAGTTTAGTCTTTTTAAGCAAAAATGAATAGTGGCTAGCTGTGGAATACAAGATGCGCGTTTTGTCCCAACTTGGGACTCATCAGCTGGATGTACCTGCATCTCAGAGTTGATGTATACTACGGGACTCGAACCCAGTACCACTCGTTTCAAAAGCCATCGCGTTATCTATTTAGCTACTGAGTCCCGATAGCCACCTGCTTGTGCAATGGGGTGAAGTATAAATTTACTTGTTGTTGTTTTACTTGCACTTCCCATTTTTATTTAGGACTGCAATTGATCAGCGCTAGCCACTATCCATCTTTCCCTAATAAAAACTTGTGGCTTAGGGCTGTATCGATGCATCTACACAGGATGCACATATGCCAACAAGAGACTGATCAATTGCAGTACTAAATAGCAATGGGAAGATACAAGTAATGCAACATCAAGTGAATTTAAAGGTTTAGTCATTCAAGATCATATAGGCAGAATTTTCAACGTTCATAAATTTATGTTGTAGTGTGCCGAATAGCGTGTTGCTTGTGATGTAGTTGTTTTTTCTGCAATTCCGCTACTCATTTGATGTTATACACAAAATATTGAAATTGGTTTCTAGCAATATACAGCACCAATTAGTTTATGACCATAAGCCATTTTTTACGTTTTAATTCAAATAACGTAGATTTAGTGTTAAAATGACTGACATTCAGTGGTCATTAGGTAATCATTCATAAACAAGTGACAACAACGTTACAAAGTATATGAAGATTATTCCTGTCCAATACCGACATACGTCGCAAGCGGTTGATTGAAATCCAGTCTTTGAATGCGAAAACAGGATACATAATAATCTAGTAAACTTAGAGACGTAACTATAATAAATAACAGATTTTTTGAAGTTCATAAAAATAAATCATACAAAGATTAGACCTATGCATTTTGAATAATCTATCAGTCTTTCAATAATGCTTTCTGCCCGGATTACAACTGAATAAGAATTAAACAGCCTGAATAATTAATCAAAAGAACTTGCAGAGGGTTCTTTCAAGCAGAAAGATCTTTAACGTTAAAGTAACGGCATTTTTATGCAATAATTCTTCGAATATCAGTTGGCTGCCGGTAAAGGTAGAGGAACCTAAGAGAAACAAATAGTTACTCGTTTGCACATGAATCTTTAAAAAATTCAGAAATTTTAATGTGCCCTACTAATTTATTGGCTACCTGTTAAAATACCAGCTTAAAATAATGACGACCTTTTTAAACGTATGTTGAAAAGATGTGAAAGAGATAGATTCAAGGCCAACTGAATCAAGTTTTATATTATTTGTTTAGGGGAATTCGAGAATATACACTCCTTGAAAAAGTTCAAAACCATTTTACACATGATGTCATGTAAAGTCCTATAGATGAATTATTTGTCTAACATGTGAATTGTGAATATAATTCAGAATTGAGTTGATTATGGGATCTAGTTTGATAGTTCTCAATCCCATTCGAAGGGAAAGATTAAGCCCGACACATGCATCTATAAATTTTGCAGAATTATTTTCCATTGATTTAGGAGTTTCAAAACAATTTGTCATTCATACATCAATACTTTAATAGGAAAGGATTTGTAGATACTGCAAAATTTCCACAACTTTGTATCATTAACTGATCAGCATCAGACCATCACTGAAAAAATGGTAGCACTAGACTTACATTTCTTCCTAGTACAGGACTTGTTTGCAGTGCACAACCACATTTCTGAACCCAAGAATCATACCCATAACGTTCAATTTTACATGTAAAAGCATATAAAACCATTCAGCTAGCACAAATCGGTATACATATCTAACTTCAATCAACATTAAAACAATATTCCAATAACTAAAATCAATACAATAAGTATGGTTCATAGTCTAAAACTTCAACACATATCATAACTTTTATCTGTTAATCCGATGATTCATTACTACAAGTAAAAACTAATTTTGCATCAGAAGGAGTTATGTGGAGGTTGTAGTGATTTCAATAGTTGAGATCATGAGTCGATTGAAGCAAGACCACCATGGAAAACGCAGAAGCACTGGCTGGCCATTTCCTTCTATTGTAGGACTCCTCAGCAGTGACCCCGCCTCTCAATATTCGAGTTTTGGGTTCGGAATTTGTAAAGAATATTTTCTTGGAATCAAATTATTACTTGCCAGCTCAACAATAACTTTTTTTGTAATGAAAATATGCTTCTTCTTTTCCTACAGAATGTTAAATGAATCATTAATTTGCCATAAAGTAATTCTGATGATTAGTTTGATTAAAGTTCCTTTTTTAAGTTATTTAACTTTGATTATTATATTAATTAGTGTTGCTTCAAATAAACTTTTATTTGTTAAAATTAAAAAAAGAGGTCCATTCTTCTCATTTAAGTTCTTTAACGATTTAACTATATTTTCTATGTTGTTTCGTAGTTTTATTCAAAATGACCTAGTTTTATTTTAAAATTGAGCGCTTGTTTTGTTTACAATATTCCTCTTCACTATATATATATATATATATATATATATATATATATATATATATATATATATATATATATATATATATAGTTAGCTTTCAAAGTATAAACATTACAGATTAATCAGAATGACAGCTGTATATGTTTACATTTCTTGAATAGGAATAAGTTAATTTGTTTATTGTTTATTTATTCAAATAAGTCATAAGTAATTTGTTAGAATCCTAACATATACTTATTTTTTATACCACAATTTGTTGTATGTTATGCAAACGTTGTTTTAATATCAGGTCAGTTGATCCAGTCATAAAGCGTAATAATTGAGTCCTATTTAGGAAGGACGAAAGACTAAATAACACTAACTGTCATCATGTTTATCTTTAAGTGTCCTAAAAATATTTAAAAAATTAAATGGAAACTGTATAGGTATATAAATATAGTTGGTAGATTAGCTTGAGTCTGAAGGAATAAGTATTTTTCCATCGGTTCATTAATGTCATATATATATATATATATATATATATATATATATATATATATATATATATAATTAGTTCTTTATCGTATAGCTTAAATTGGTCAATAGAACTCAATTATTACCTTCCAACCGCTAAATTACATCGAAGTCGGGAACCTAAACTATTAGTCGAATTCAAACCTGATCATTGGTTTTCTGTCAGCACTAAGAAGTAGATGGGTATTACACTTGCCTACTCCTCAGTGACTAATCAAAATAAAGTTATACAAGGTCTTTCAATAATGGTATAATCTAGTAATAAGATTTCTGTCAAAATACATAGTGACACAGGAACTTATCAAATAGTGCTCATTATTTTATTCTTAAATGCAGTTATTTTTGTTGACAAGTATCAGAAAGCTCGAAAGATCCAAGCTTGGAACATTTTTACCGATCGCATTAAAGTATTTACCTTATAATAGACTGTTTGTGTTTAGCAAATGCCAATATCAGTCTATTGCAGTTTTCTATACACATTTCATCATTTGAACAGTCTACTTACCTTAAAATTGTATAAATACGTACTCTTCATTTTAAAATACTCTGATACAAAAGTATTTTCATGTTTGTTGAAGAAGAAACAAGTATTTACTTGAATTTAGTTAGAATAATGACACCTTTATGTTATCTCATCAATTTTTCATTTAAATTACTTAGTTACATCTGGATTTTAGTAACTAGTATTTAATTATCTAAACATCTGAAAGGATGCCTCGTATTTGTTCAATCTATTATGATTGATCGCGTATATTATTAAACATAACTTTGCCTTTCTCGTTGTGAGTGCATATATTACAGAAAATAATCTTTTTCTTTAAACAAATTTTAAGTCTTTTAATCATACTCTACTTTGTTACTTTCATTTTAGCAAATTTTTTACACCCTTTGGAATCTCAATACACAGATAAATGGACTGAAAAAAGTCTTATTAAAGATTTATTAAGAGATTATGAAAAACGTGCAAGACCTGTAGTCGATGGAATGTCACCTGAAATAACTGTTGGCAATACTACAGTACAACAAATCACTGTAGCATTTGGTCTGGGTTTGATTCAAATTCTTCAACTTAATGAAAATGAACAGATTCTCACTGTCAGTGTCAGATCCCTTTATGTAAGTTATTTCGAAGTATTTTTTCTTCTTCATATTGTATGAAAAAAGAAAAGAAACTATCTGTAAGGTTGAGATACGTAGATTAGTTACATTTAAACAAATAATAATATTTGTAAATCCTCTTTATTGGAAGATTTACTGAATCATTATGACTAATATATTGCACATTTTCAAGTCAACAGTATATTAACTATGTTGCATCAAAGACAGGTTATGTCTTCAATAAAGATACTATTGATAAATAATACAAGATACAATAAGTATAACATTATGTGTAATAGCGAGTTACTAAGACGAAATGCTTGTTTAGCATTTATCTCATAGATATATTTTTATTGTATATTGATCTGACCATTAAACTATATAGAAATGTGAAATATATGCAATAGCATTGATTATAGATGATTAGAAACACATTCGTGCTTCGTCGTGATGATAAGAATACATGGGTAATTCTACAGACAGATCTTTTATGAAAGTATAGACAATGGTGGATGTGTCGCTCAATTTCGTGGATTAGTTGAAGTTAGACATTAACGCCGTTGGATGCCGGCTCAGTGGTCTAATGGTTAAGTGCTTGCGCGCGAAACAAGTAGGTCCTGGGTTCGAATCTGGCAAGGAGCGAGGTCGTAGTTGCGCACTGCTGAGGAGTCCCACAATAGTACCAAACGGCCGTCCAGTGCTTCCAGGTTTCCTGGCTTCAACTGACTCATGATCTTAATCATTGAAATATATGTTAAAACATTTCTTTCAATAAATGCAAAGCGTTGGAATTTCGCTATTATCCGTGTAAATACTATAAAATATAGAGAATTCACCTCTGATATAAAATAGATTATTGTTTAAAATCAGATTTCAAATGTTTTCAAATTTAAATTGAAAGGCTTTATTGTTGTTACTAATCAGTGCAATTCATTTAAAACAGAAATTATATAAAGATTTCAGAATATAATGTAAAATATTACTGCAAGACGTAGTCGACTTATATATATGGATTATCATCAACCAACCATTCGAGATTACATAAACTTTCATATTCTATTCAGAACTGCAGTCACTTACGAGCGAAACATTTTACTAAGACATTCATTTTTATCACGAAATGATTTACTCAGTGTTTTGTATAATAATGATCATAAGATTAACGAGTAGCTGTTCCTTGCAATATAACGTAACATGAAATTGAGATGGTGGAGAAGATTTGTAGCTCAGGTGAATGATTTTGATGGAGTTTTGTTCTAAACTCGAAAACCTACGTTGACAATTACACTACAATTACTTATACGTGATGCATAATTTACGTATGTCCTTGAAAATACAGAAGAACTGAATGTTGGCCGTAATTCATCTAGTTGCTTAGAGATAAGTACAACCATTAGTAAATAAAATAATTTAACTGAATGTTACTTTAGCTAGAACAGAGAAACCCTTCATAAATGTTTCGAATGAGCCTTTTTTTTGCTAGTATCATTAAATATAGTTTGCAAAATCACTGAAGTGATAAGTTTCACCCTTCGTTAATAACCAATACATACTTTATTCTTCAACTGTCATGAAGAACTATTCTATCCATTTTTGTTTACCGAAGTTGATTTGTTAGTGAACAGGAAACGCATGGCATCAATAATAAACTAGTATGTTTTTTTCAAATTAACTCATTCATGTCAACCAGAAACAATAATATAATAACAGTATTTTAGGTATGCTATACACAAATATGATTTTTTAACACCTCCATAAAAATAACAAAAGAATCATGGGTTAATAACAGGATGTCGGAAAAATTTATAATTCATAATTTAGTTTTGCTATCTCTCAAAATCAAATATTAATCCGCTCTCATTTTCTTATCATCATAAACGAATGTCCATGCACAAGTGTGTACTTTTTCCACATTTCAATGGATGTTCACAGAATATTCAATGAACAGACATCTTGACCGAAAATTCGTGGTCTCTACTCCTGAAAAATAAAAGCATATATATTGCAAGTAAATACCAGAAGTGTTATGACATACAAAAGTTAGACGAAATTTAGTCAGCCTTATAGATTTGTGGTTAAGTTCGTGATTCTCAATTCAAGCCTTTAACTACTTCTATTATAAATTTAATTCTCCTGATATTCTCATTATTGCAATACAGTATGCATGGATTAATAACTATAGAATTCGAAAAATATGTCATTAAAAAAATTATCCCCCACGATTTTTTTCATCGAAAATACCTCAGTATAACCAAAATAATACCAGTGAACACTATATCATTTTAAACCATACAGTTTGTTACGGAAGCATATGTGTTTCTTGTATGATATTAATTAATAGTTGATCCATAAGTCTTTTAAACTCTAGAAATGAACAGGAGGCTTATTTTTGTTGTTGAAGTTACTGAATAATGCTACATTCTTTTCTTAGACTTGGATCATTTTATCACAATTTAGAATTCGAACATTCAACACAATTTTGGTCATAATGAATGAGTACAGAATAAATATTCGTTAACTTTATATACCATCAATAAATAGGTTACCCACGATATAGTTCCATCTCATTTAACCTTTAAATAATAGTTTAAGTCAAATAAGCAAATAAGAAAGTTCATGAAGCAAGAGAATTACAGAAATTACACTGCTATACAACAAATTGTAACTCACAGTTAATAATCAAAGCATGTTTTCAAGTTAACCAATTACAACTTATTCATTCAGTATAAAAATCTAAATAAAATAAAAACAAACAAAAACTATATCACTCTTTGATCTAATAAGCACAATTCAAATGGTGTTTATTGTCATAACCTTCCAGATAAATAGGGTACGTAATTTTCTGTATTCGAATTGAACCTAACTTTAGTATGGTGTAGAAAGAAAATTAGGTATTTTTGATAGGATAGTCTAACCAATAATTATTACTATGAAATATGCATTTGTATCTATCGTAATCGATTTTAAAATATCGTTTACTATATCAAAGAATCTTTGTACGGATAACTAGTTCTTTGAGGTATTTTAGGGAGAAATTAACCACCTTAAGTCAATAAAAGTTCAATAAATCTACTTTTAAGTCATTTCACCAATAACTAACTTTAGCTATTTAAAATTCATTTATATATTCTCTCATCCATTTCTACATTTTTATTAAATTTCTACCGGCTTTTAAGTTACTATTGACTTTGAATAAGACAACAAAGATTATCATAGAAGATTCTATCAAACGTAATATATGTTTTATCACAGGAAATGCAACCTTATGTATACAGGGAGAGAGAGTGTGTGATAAAGAGAGGGAGAGAGAGAAAGATAATTGAAAACTTTCATAAATTTCATTTTCATTTAAATCTATTTGATCTCATTTAGTAAAATATTGAATAAATGAGGTCAACTAATTCAAACTAGGATAATTCACTTTTTTATACAAACATTACTTTGGATGAATTTACCTAGTGATTACAATTTCATTGACTATTTTATTTCTATAATTTTTTTTCTCCGTTTCGTTGTTAGCGATGGACTGATTATCATTTAGTATGGAATCCAGAAGAATACGAGAATATTACTCATATTAACATTCCAACTGATAAAATATGGCTTCCAGATATCGCATTATATAATTAGTAAGCATGTTTTATAACAATAGTCACTGAATTTTTAAAAAAATATTCTTTGTAATGTTATAGAATAAATATATACAATGCTTATGTTAAGTTAATTTCTGTAGGATAGTAACTGAAAGACTCACAGTTAGATACGATAGGAACTGTCAAATATTTTAAAGTATATTGGTGATCTTAACAATTGATTATCTGGTTTGTTTTTTAAAAAGATTAATTTTTTTACCATAAGTCTTCTATGTTTAGTAAGCTGTAAAGTTTCTAAGCCAATGTTTTAATATTCTTTATATCAGGTTAGATTTAATTAAAGTAATACCGTTTTGAAAAGAATTACGGTTGACTTATAATGCAAATAAAGTGCACAAGAATTCAAGAGAAAGGGAATTTGATGAGTAGTATAACCATGTTTTTATTATTACCAGTATGTTATAGGTTAGTCTCATTTGATACCTGTTCATAATAATATATTATACATGTAGTCATTCATCATATCAGTATTATTATTTGTTTATTAAGAGGTGGTAATCATAAATTATAATAAACAATATAACTATTGATATAAAATATTTGAAGATGTGTTTCTCTTACACAGATTTAGCAGATGAAAATTATTAAATTCTAGTCATGTGCTCATCAATACTAGAATGAATGTCCATTTTTATGAACTCAACCAACCAACTAGTGGACTCTAAGTCATTGGTCTAGAGGTATGATACAGTTAACAAACCAAACATTTTGATTTTCTGGATTCATTTCCACGTAGAATCTTAAAAATCACGAAGTACAGTAAAACAACTATCAGGGTCTTACTTATTTTCACCTGTTTATCATAAAGCTAATAAAACCTTTTTAACGAGTATGAAACGAGTTTAAGAAAGTTATATTCAGAAGCTAAAAGAGGTGACTAATGAGTTACCTAATAAATTCTTTCTGTTTAGTTGACTTAAAATTATGTCACTACAAAAGACAGTGTTCTACATAAATCAGTTCTTTAAATCAATTATAAAGTAGAATAAACAATAGTATATCCACTAAAAATCCTAGCCAGTTGAATTTAATCTCATGAAAGATCATATCTGTTTATAACTAAAGACTTTAGCATGACATTAAACAATCAATTTTAATGTCTTAGAGAAGTGTGTATTTTGCAAGCCATCACCAGTGTGAAATCCACTTATTATATATACAAGATCTTATGCTGACAACTTATTCAATATTATCTCACAAAATCAGCGAACTGATGATTAATGAGTAGAGTGCGTTTGTACAATAAACGGAATTAAAAAAAACAGAATACAACATAAATAACAAAGTTAAAAGCAAAAATAAGTAGTGACTTATTTCTTACTTATGTTGAGAAAAAAATACAAAAAATGACTATATTAAGAAAATACCCTACGGATATTGAATTCCTTTGAGTAATTCCATATCATCTTTCTGATTCTTCTATCTTATTTCATTTTAATATGACCTAATGGTAATGAGAACTTTATGTAATATCTTTCTCTGTCTCTCTCTCTGTCTTTAGCCAAATGGCTTACTTACTAATCACCTACCATTCCTACACTCTATCTTTACATTATCTTAATTTATCTAAATTTGTCTATTTTTACGCATTTAATATTATGCATACAAACTAGTAAGTAAATAAGGAAGTATAAATAAGCCAGTGAACTAATAAGCAAGTGAAAAATGGAACAAACAGTTTTAAAAAGTATAATAATAATATATAGATTGACAATCATAAGGATAATGCTATTAGTGAAAAACTAGTAATGTGTTGTAGAAAAAAGATAAAGAGGAAAGTAGAATGAACGAGCAAAGGTCTTGAAATGAAGTGACTTCTTAAGTTTAAAATTTTACCCTTTATATGCATATATATATATATATATATATATATATATTTGTGGTGGGATAAATGTTTTTATTAAATGTTTAGTAAAGTTACTACAAAACACGTTAAATAAAAAAAGTCTCATCAAGAAATGAGCATACTTTGTAATAGGTAGGAACAAATGTACTTTGAAGTGTTTTAATCGCGTGTTCACTTTGTAAAGACACTAACAAAAATTTTTTCTTCTATAGAAGTAAAGTGTATCTTTATTTTTAAAGATGAAGAAGAGTTTTCTTTTTCTTACTGGTTTATTTAAAGAAACAAAACTGTTGATGATAGTCATTATCAAATTAAACTAGATTATTTAATGGGTATTTAATATTGCAAACATTCATGATGTATGAAACTTTACTATGTATTTTATGCTAAACAAAATATTTTCATTGGTGAATATATTGTCTAAGTTGAATATTTTCTAACAACAACATGGGTTAGAGTGAATAATCTCAAACTCTCTGAGTAGTAAATCAGAACTTTCGTCTAAATTTGAACGAATAGTTTCACAATATTTGGGCTCCGAGATAATGTGAGATATTAAAGAGGAAGAATGTATTTGTAAAATCTCAGCGAAAGAATTCGAAATAAATCCAACGTCTCGCCTTGCAATCTGCTCCAAGCTTTTTCAAGGAAAATATAACATTGTTAACGTTGATTGGATGACTTATTCAGTATACAGTAATCCAGAGAACCATGTACCTATTTATATTCGATAATTTTGTTCTTTGATTATATTTTCCTTGAAAAAGCTTGAAGCAGATTGCCAGGCAAAACGTTGGATTTACTACAAATTCTTTCGCTGAGATTTTACAAATACATTCTTTCTGTGAGTGGTAGTTACATAAGATGTTCTAGTTATCAAATGACAATGTTCAAAATCTAACTGTTTAGATATGTTTGAGGTAATTTTTACTTTCCTAATTCACCTAACGGTCTGTATCATTCTTTAAGCAATATTCAATATTAACTCGGTTATCATGCTTGAACATTCTAGTGCTGTTACAATCTTCTATGATTCATGAACTTCAGGAAAAGTATATCACCTTTCAATTTTTCATGAAACTATTTATGTATTAAACGAGTATAGAAGTATATTTTAATACAAAATATATTTGATAGTAATATGCATTAGATGGCTATGATTTCACAGAAACTGTAATTAAGTTTAATTGTATATTATCTTTCAATGATAAAAAAAGTATCTACTACTAATTATGAATAAAATCACAAAAGTTAAACTTCCGCAATGACAAACTGAGCTAAAAGATTATTATAAAGTGGCTACCTTATGGCTGGTAACGAAAGCATCTGATGAAAGATGAGTTTAGTTTTCAAGGTTTAAAAGTGCCTAATGTTTATTTAACTAGTTAAATTAACCAAACAGTATCAAAACATCAGACCAAGAAACGATAATAAAAAGTACCATTCTTTAGAGCTAAACATAGCATTTTAGAATGGTCGTTATTGTTTTTAAAGTTCCCGTCATATTGTCTTTATAGTACAGCTTCAGACAAATATGGTGAAAAACGTTACTTCTTACATTACTAACCTTAAGTTTTATAACCTTCATCACTTTCTACATGAATAGCAGAGTGTATGGTAGTATAGCTTGATGGGATATTTTGTTACTTTCAGCTTCAGGTAGAATCCTTCAAGTGCTTACATCATCCTAGTTAGATTGAGTTTCAAAATTGGAAATCTTAGATTTTTCTGCAATTCATACAAGACATTATGTTATTTTGGTTTTTTTGATTTCTAAAACAATCCTTCATTGTTACGCTATGTAGCATAGCAAAAAATCACGTGACAACTACAAGAAAATATATAACATTTGTCGCAGTTCGTGTATTATTCAACTGGATAGCTACACAACCCTAAGTAAATAAGCGAACTTTTTTTACTTTCATGAAGTATTAATTAATCATTTAAAAAAAAGTATCATACAGGTGAATTGTACGGCGATGTCTCATTGAAACGGAAACACTGATTTTATATCATGTGATTTGGGTCCTTTAATCAATAGTCAAGTTAACAACTCAACAGTTGCTGTTGTACATCATTTCAAATTTAAACAACAGGATATCTAAAGAGGATTAAATGATCTAATTTAAACACGATACATATTTATATTAACAATATGTCTAAGTGTAAGTTGATTATGGTGTCCACAAATTAATTTGTTTTAGACACAGAATCGAATTAAGGAAATATGAACTCCACACATGGTAGTTCTAAATGATTAGATCTTATTTGTATTTCAATGATATAGTATCGTCATTGAAATTAAAGCTCGTTTAATCAAAAAAACTATTATCCATAAATTTCTATTATTCAACTTTTTTATAAATGCTTACAATTCTTAATTAATATTACATTTGAACATATTCTTGATGTACATTATACACAATACTAAAATCATTAAACACACTTGGATCTTATTGATTATTATTTGTGCACATTACCATTTTCATTTTCTACATATTAAAAAAAGTGAGGAAATTTTCATTTTTGACATTTTATCATATTCACAATCAGTATCTATGAAAAGCTTTTTTAGTTTTCTATTCACTTACTACTGGTTAAGCATGAAGTATAGACCCAATACATATTTATACAAAATCTATAACTATATGCACCTATATGTATATATGTAGTTAGTTGAATTTCAGCAGTTATGGACACGCAACACACTTCTTTCCTATAATTGTGCAAAAAGGATTTCATTCGAAATATTTGTTAGGAAATGACAATTTTGGATCAATAAATAGATGAATTTCGTTGAAAATAAATCAATGACTGCCAAATAGGAATAAGTTTCTTACACAAATTACAAAAAAGAAAAACACTACTACAACAACAACAACCACAGTTTTAGATAAAAGAACAAAACATAATTGTATGTGCGTAAAAGCACTTACTTGAATAATATTGTTATGTTTCTCATTAAAATATATAATTATTCGGTGTTTACAATGGAGTTGCTGATTCGCATTAGAATTGTGATCGAGATCTTACTAATTATAAGTTATTTACAAGTTTCTTCTCTGTGAATATTTTTAAATATCCTTGTATCACATAAATTTCTAATGATACACTATTATTATTACTGGCT